TAAAAAACCATTTACAAGTAAAAAAATCTCAAGTGGATGAAATTATTATTAATTTAACAGATAATGAATGAAAGTGAGGTCATTGCTGAAAATAAGTGTTTTTATTTGAAAGGCCTTGTAATTCTAATAAAGGCCCATGTTCTTTCTATTCCTAATTGTAAAATTCAAGACCTTGTACACTCCTTACTAAAAACTAGATATTCAAAACAATTGATTGATTGTAAAACTGTTGAATTAGAAGAAATGATAATATAGAATTTTCAATACACCAAACCAATTCTCAATCTCAATGCTGATGATAATATATATTTCAATTGATAAAGAAATTGCATCAAGTGATATCAATTTCCCCAACCATTATCAAATGTAACATATTGTTCACCTTATTCATTATGTTACATGTATCATTGTACAAAAGATGAGGATAGGATGGTTGTTTCATACCACCCAGAAACTTTATTGATTAATTTCCAATATGTAACTTTTGAGTTTGCAAGATACATTACAAAATGTGTCTCAAAATCTAAGCATTCTAAGTTATTTGAAATCAATGAAACTGATGAACTTCAAAAGCATACCATGGCAAAGAGACTAGGTGCAATGAAACTGACTGATTATACTCCCATTCCAATATCCAATAACAAGGTGTTCCATCTTGGTGCTATATTTCCCTCAGAATATTGTCTTAAAACTAATGCATCTACTTAATAAAGAGTAAATAATGCTAAGCATGGTGGTGGTGACAATGATTATTATTGTTGTTGTTGTTATGATTATGGTAATGAGAACCAGGATAAACCAACTCCATATTGGGATGATGCAATTGACAAGTATTTTGATAGACCATATCATGAGTATTTTAAAATCTTACCTAACCTGAATACTTTCAAAATTATGCAATCAGATCAAAAATACTGGCCCAAGATCTAAATTATTTTACACCAGCCTTATAAAAAATTTTGTCGGAAAATGTATGGTTTTCCATACATTTTCCACATGTTCTGTATTAAATATGTACAGAATTATACATTAAAAGAGCACTTTTCCATACATATTTGACCTGAAAATGCACTGAAAATTTATGGAAAATGCATGGAAATATGTACGTAATTTTTGGAAATGACCTGAAAATTACATTCCGTACATTTTCTTGTGCATTTTTTGTGGATGTTAAGCACGGAAAATGTATGGAATTTATTTTCAGGTCATGTTCAGGACAAATATGTATGGAAAAGTGCTCTTTTTCATGTATAATTCTGTACATACACTCCCTAGACAAAAGCTTCAATCACCACAAAACAATTAATTACGCAAAAATTTACATAATAAAACACAAATAAATTCCATCAAATCGTGATTAAAGTTCTCAAGAATGTGTATGCAAAATTTCAAATTTTTGTAATGTTTGGGAGAATAACAAAATAAAAAGTTCGACCAAAAATTATTTTTTGGAAAAATTTTGATTTTATTTGCAAGTATTTATACCACTTCTCAAAAAAAAAAAAAACGCACATAATAACTATATACACCCGAAATTTTACTTATTTGTATGCAAGTCAACACTTTGTTGGCCGTCCATTATTGGATATAGCAGCTTCTATTCTTCTCGGCATACTTTCTATCAAATTCATATAAATATTTCTAGGAATTTGATTCCATTCTTCATGTAAAGCGGCCTCAAGTTCAACATTATTTTTAAATTTATTTGGACGTTTCCGAATACGAATTCTTAATTGATTCCACAGATGCTCTATTGGATTCAAATTAGGAGATTGACTTGGCCAATTTTTCGAAATGTTTACTTTTTGTTTCAATCCAATTTTTGACGATTTTTGCTTTGACATTTTTTAATTTTATCAAAAATTTCAAAAATTTTAAAACAATTTTTTACGAAAAAATTTGTATAAAAACATATGACCTAGTTTTTTAGAATCTAATCTTTTATACGTATGTCACGATTTCAGGTGTGTTTATTATGTAAGTTTCTGAGAAACTGTTTTTTTTTTAGCAAACTACGATTTTTCAGAAGATTTTTGGTCGAACTTTTATTTTTTTAACTGTTATTCTCCCAAACATTACAAAAATTTGAAATTTTGCATACATATTTTTGAGAACTTTAGTCACAATTTGATGAAATCTATTTGTGTTTTATTATGTACGTTTTTGCGTAATTAATTGTTTTGTGGTGACCGAAACTTTTGTCCAGGGAGTGTATATAATCTATTTTTTTATAATAAAGGAAATGACTAGTATTAGCAAGATTTCATAATAAGTCGCATTTTTGATTATTCGTGGATAATTTTGAGGTCATGTTAAAAGCTTCTTATTCATCTTAGTAAAAACCTTGCTTACCTCTATATATGTATTGCTCCGGGTTCTTTTAAATGTCTTAAATGGATGGGGATTAGCAATACATTTAAAAATCAATAATAAATTTACAAACGTTTTTATTGAGACTGGAGCTGAATAACTGGATTAACTGGATTAACTGGATTTAGGGAACTCGTTAAAAGATGTTGTTTCGCCGGTAAGATTTCAGAATAGTTACTAATTATTTTTTTAATAAATTTTATTGAGACTGGAACTGGAAAAATGTAGTTTATTTGTTCACCTCCATAAGATTCTTTATCATAATAATAAACAAGTTATTAATGAATTATAATAATTATAATTTGATTATTAGGATATTGAAATTTAATTCAAGACTCAAGCATTTAAAATTAATTCCTTGCGTACAAAGGCTAATTTGAAGCTCGCATCCTTATAACATGATGATACAATGAAATTTCAAGAAGTGGTAGCAAGGTTCCGAACTTGTGTTGTTGACAAACAAAGAGATTGTTAAGCCTCCCACTTGTCTGAAGCCTACTAATGTATGAATGGCGTCACCTATAGAAAAATTCTATAGTTATGAGGAGTGCAATTTACATGATAGTAAATTCATAGAAGGAAAATCTTACACCAAAATTATCAATATAAGATTTATTTATTTTATTTTTCAGAGATAATTTTTAAGGAACCCTGGAACTTGTAATTGTATAGAATTGGGAAGCGCATCCACAAACACAAACACAAACACAAAAGTTTCATTTCTGCATGGTTTTATTATTAGATGTAATTTATTTTATTTATATATTTAATAATCTTTTATAAATTTAAACAACATTAAATGTATTGCATAATCATCATGGATATTCTATTGGATGATACAATGATAGGGAAGACAAAGTTATGTCACGTATGTCTATTATTATTTTTAGTATTTGTTTATTCTATACGAGAGATATTCCAATAGAATGACATCGAGGGAATGAAAAGACCAGCATGAATAACAACCAATATAAATAATTTATACTCGAAAAACCTAAATATTAATATGGATTTGAGGAATATTTAGGAGAAACATATATATTTGATTAAACATCCTTTGTGAGTAAAATATGTAGCTTTAAATTGTGCCTTTGATGTAGACAGCTTTACCGCCATAATCATTTTAATCTTACAAACTACAAAGTTTATATTAAAATTATATTATGAACCCATTAAAGTAATTTTATCTCTAAAAATCAAATAATTCTTTGAAATATCAAGTTCTAATTCTCATAATTAGGGCTTTTATTCGTAATACAAATTCTTATTCGAATTATTCGTAATACATTTGACCTTTAATTTGAATTAAAAAAATTTATTCGAACTAAAAATTTAATTCGCTTTATTCAAATTATTTGTTTTATTTGTTTTATTCATTATCGGAATCTTGGGTTTGTTCATT